CGATAAACATGCTTGGACGGTAAACCAACGACGCTGAAGCGGTGCTTTATCTCGGCCACAATTGCCACGGTTGCATGTCCGCCACGAGATCACGTCCGCTCTTTCAGACGTCGGCAGAGATCAAAGCCACCAAAGCCATCAAAACGATCAAAACGATCAAAGCCGCCAAAACCATCAAAAGCATGAAAGCGATCAAAGTGATCAGACAACCTGACCACCCTCGAGCAGGTTGGTCTCGTTTATGACTATTGGCCACCACTTGACAAGAATGCTGTCTCGAAGAAAGTGTCTGCTTGCATTTTCCGGTCGAGATGAGAGTTGAAGAGAGAGAGAGCGAGTCAGACAACAAACATGATGACCTTGTTCTTTCGGTTTACTTTCAAGCCTGTCTTCCGTTTCCGTCCAACAGTTTCTTCCAGCTTTTTCCTTTTCTTCATTTTCCTCTTTGCCTTCTCTTTTTCATTCTCCTTTTTCCTACCTGCCGGCTTCTGCTTGCCTTTTTGCCTCTTCCTCCCATTCCCCTTTTCACTATTCTCCCACTTGTTCTACCCCCTTGTCTGCTACTTTGTTGCATCTTTCGCTTCTTCTCGTCGGCAACTTTGTCCAGACGTCTCCAGACTGAAGCCAACCAATCGTTTTTACACATTCCACCCGTTCTCCACACACTTCCCTCCACCCACCAGTTCGAGTCCGGTACATTCGGTTCTCGCTTGTCAGCCCCACCCACTTTCGCGTCTTCTCGTGTCAACCAAGCGATGGCGGATGAGCAGCTCTCGAAAATAAACACCCTCGACTCCACCTCCAAGTCGTCCGCTCCAATTTCATTCGTTTGATATTTCCCATTTCGCATTACCTGCCATTCATCTGTTGTCTTGCCAACCGATTATCAGCTCCGCAGATGCATATCTGTCCGGACCTGTTTGCAGCGAAGACTTCTCTGAAGCAGCCCCAAGCGGATATTTTTTCAACCGGCCCAGCCTTCTTTGCTCTTTCGCTCCGACAGATGCCGAATTCCTCGTCAGTCTGCACACTTTTCTGTGTCTTGGCATTGCAAATAATGTAATTGGTTTTGATACACGATGCTGTTTTATTTACCGGAAGATGCCAATTATTGTATCCGTCCATCCATCTGCTTGTCCATTTGTCTGTCTGTCTGTCTGTCTGTCTGTCTGTCTGTCTGTCTGTCTGTCTGTCTGTATGCAGACATTGCTCTCGA